GGCCTTTGAAGCTTGGAGTCGGTATAAGATGTCTTTGGCTGTTAGTTGGGATGTTCCTGGAATAAGGACAATTCCTAGAAAAAAGCAATGAGCAATTGAGACAATTCAGTATTTCCCAAAATACTTGATCTTGTCTATTTGATGCTGAATTGTTCCATCAAGGACAATTAGCAGTTTAAAAATGCAGTGAGTCAAATCCTTCCTAAGAATTTGCAACACTGCAAAGCAAAAGATGGAGTTATTAACCCCTTTAATCATATAGTTAGCGCATTAAAATGTCCACACAGATAATTTATCTGGTCAAGGCTGGCCTTAGATTGTAACCATTCAACCTTCACTGACTTCCACTGCAGATCCAATTTACCTGGACTGTATCTGTCCCTTTGGTTCCTGTGTGGGTGCTGCCAGTTCTTCTGTGCAAAGCTGAACCTCACAGTCACAGCAGAATATTCCTGCTTACATCTTCTTCCCATTAATTTTGCACATTGCCTGTGTCTTCTATTTATGTCCTGTCTGCATCCAAGAGGTCAGTGAGATCACTCACCTGTTCTCATACAGGCTACATTGAGGAGCCACCACTCTGGGACACGAGGCAGAACTGCTATAACTCTGTCTCCTCTCTGCAAACCACATGCCTCAGAGAGCACATTGGCTGCCTTCCTGGAGAGAAATCCCAGCTCTTCAAAGCTCCACTTCACCTCCTCTCCCTCCTCATTTACCCACCAAAAAGCTGGATTTGCTGGTTTTCTTCCATCCTAGAACACAACGGAAGATAGTAAAGTAAGAAGAAAGACCTTAAAAGATTTTGTTTCAAAACAAAATAACTCCAGACTAGGCACATCCTCCCTGGTAACTAGTCTCTCAGAGTGATCCCTGTATTTCTGACAAGCCAAACAAAATGTTGCATTCCACTCTGCAGCTAATCTAGCCAGTATCCATCAGGAAAACTGATTTGTATCATCTGAGCTTTGTTCCAGTGTGTTCTGGATTTGGCTGGGATAGAGTAAGCACTGCTTAGCAACAACTAAGTCAAGGACTTTTCAGTTTCCCACGCTCTGCTGACAAGGAGGTGCACAAGGCGTTGGGATGGAGCACAGGCAAGACAGCTGACCCAAACTGCCCACAGGGCTATTGCACACCACAGAACGTCCTGCTCAGTGTAACCTGTGGGGAAGTTGGTCAGGAGGTACCAGTCACTACCTGGGGACTGTCTGGGCGTTGGTCAGTGAGTGGTGAGCAATCGTGTTGTGCATAACACATCTTTCTTGGGTTTTATTTCTCTCTCTCTCTCTCTTTCTATTGTCTTCAACTGCTACTGCTATGATGATGATGATGATGATGATGATATGTTATTTTATTTCAATTCTTAAGCTGTTCTTACCTCAACCCATGGGGTTTACCTCTTTTTTCCTGAGTCTCCTCCCCACCCCCTGGGGGTGTGCATGTGTGTGTTCATGTGATCCAGGAG